AAACCAAACATGGAACTGCAAGGTGCCAGGGAGACACCAGTGTGTTATGAAGTTATAATCAAGCCTGGTGGGAGCAGGTGGCTGAGATCTCATCATTCTTTCTAGGTGAGCTTGAGTGATGGTCATCAGTACAGTGTTACTGAGCGAAATGATGACCAATGGAACAGTCCTTTAAACAAGAAGCAGCTATTTGCAGGTGCAAACAAGCATGAACTAGAACTCTGCTAATGACTGTCCATTACTAGCTAAATACATAATCACCTTTTTTAGGCTTTACCATGACAGTGAGAAGCAATTATTCATTATAAACCTAGGGCTGTGTACTGGCCATCTTGGTGTGTGTCTAACCTGGTCTGTAATGAATAAACGTTCCAGTTGCAAGAGTGTGTCGTCATTAGCATATGGGTAATGAAAAATCAAAAACAGTTGAAAAGTTCTGAAGTAATGAAAAGTCAAAAGTAGCTAAAAAGTTTTCCTTCACATTCTTTTAAATAGAAGAAATAAATGAAGCTAAAAATTAAATTTCTCCTTTCAAGAAATGATCCTGGAACTACTGGCTGTCCACGTTCAGAAAAATAGACCTGAACTCAGGTTTGTTAAAGTTAATAAAAATTTAACACAAAGTGAATCATAGATCCAAATGTAATACCTTAAACTACAAAGTTTTAGAAGAAAACAGAAGATCTTTGTGACCTTGGCTTATGCAAAGACTTCTTAAGACATGAAAAGCAAGATTCATAAAAGAAAAAGCATGATAAAATAAATGTCATTAAAATTAAAATCTAATTTTCAAAAATAATGTTAAAGAAAATGAAAAGCCATAGACTGAAGGAAAATATTTGCAAAATGCCTATCTGATAAAAAAAACTACAATCAAGAATATATAAAGAATTCTGAAACTCTATAATAAGAAAATAAATAACCCAATTAGTTTTGAATAGGCAAAAGATTTGAACAAACATTTCGCCAAAAAATATATCCAGTGGCAAAGAAATACATGAAAAGATGTTCAATATTATTAGTCATTAGGGAAATGCAGTTTAAAACTGTAATCAGCTACGCCTATACAACCATTAGAATGACTTAATTTTTTTTTAATTGACAGTATTACATGCCTAGGAGGTTGCAGATTGTGGGCGGCAGAATAATGCTGCCCCTCCCGAAGAAGTACATGTCCTGATCCCCCCATACCTGTGAACATATGTTGTTACATGACAAGGGGCAATTTCAATTGCAAATAGAAAAACAAAATTTGTTAATCAACTGCCTTTAAAGGAAAGAGATGATCCTGGGTTAGCCGAGAATCCAGTTTAGTCACGACGATCTTTTAAATGTGCAAGATGAAGGCAGAGGTTCAGTGTCAGAGTGAAACTGTGTAAGAAGGATTCCAGCAGTCATTGCCAGCTTTGAAGATGGATGGGGCCACAGGCCACAGGGTGTGGGCAGCCAAGAGGAGCTGGGAAAGGCAAGGAAAGTTTCTCACCCTGGAACCTCCAGAAGGAAGCAGCCTGCTGCCACCTGGCTTTTAGCCCAAGGAGATGTTTTGAATATCTGACTTCCAGAGCTACAAAATAATAAATGTATGTTGTATAAAGCCACCAAGTTGGTGGTAATTTGCTATAACAGCCATGGAAAACTAAAGAATAAACTAATTAAAACTCTCCTAAATTTCTGATGAATGTGAAATGAGTACAAATACTGTTTTGGTTAGAAAGTAAAACATAGCAGATCAAATAAAGTTAAAGATACGTCTGTGTCCTAGGAATCTCATTCCTAGATATTTAAACATTTGTCCATTCAAATGTTGATTGTGACTTTTTGCAAAATTCAGCAGTGGTTAGTAGATAAAGAAATAGTGGTTTGTTTACCCAGTGGGATGCTCAATAATAAACAGGGGTGAACTCACTAATTAAAAGGGACACAAACAATAACAAAGATGACTCTCAAATGTAACCAAGTGGAAGAAACCAGACTCAAAAGTTTATTTATATGACTTTCTAGAAAAGATGAAATTATAAGGACAGAAAACAGACTGCTGGTTGCCAGGGGCTGGATGGGTGAGGAGGTTGATGGCAAAGGGGGTGATGATGCTATGTCTGATTGTGGTGGTGGTTACACGATTGTGTTTGTCAAAACTCATAGAGCTGTGTACCAAAAAGGGTGAACTTCACTGTTTGTAAATTTTACATCAATATATATACAGATTCTCCATATAAGACAAGTTGCATTTGAAGTCAAGAAATCTAAGGAAACTTGTCTATTGATGGCCCCATTCTGTTGTCTCACAAGTGCTATTTTTTAGAAAAAGGAATTTTTTTAGAAAAAGGAACTTTAGAATTGGAAGGAATTTTAATCATCTCTTAGTCCTTTAATTTTTAAATCATTTTTTGTTGTCAGAATCCTCCCCCCAAATATAATAATATTCTTAAATAGACCCTGTCTGCCAGACACTACAGCAAGCACCCTGCATTACTCCTTTTAACCCTAAGGCATCCCTGTAAGGTGAGTATTTTAAATAATAAAAAAAATCATCAATAATATGTTGCTAATAATAATTATACAGGTGTGCAAATGGAGGTTTATATAGCTTCACACAGCTGGCCGGTGGTGGAATGGACTAACTGTCAGCTTGATTCTAGAGAACACTCTTAACCACCATGACATTGCACAGCCTCGTTTCTCTGAAATCCTTGAAAAAAAAATAACTACAGGAGCTGCTGCTCTGGTTGCTGAATGTGTGTGTTGGGGTGTGTGTGGTAGAGCTGGGGGTCTGGATCCTGTTGGCGGTTTCACGACAGTAATATAATTTGGACACTGCTGATCTGGTCCAATGATACGATTCTATAAGGAGAAATTTGTAGCCCAGAGAGGTCCAGTGACTTGCTCTAGATCACACAGCTGGTTAGTCTCCCAACTCCTGGTCATGTGTTCCTTCCTCAGCACAGTGACAGCTCACAGTATAAAGCCCACGCTTTATGCAAATATCTGTCCTTGTAACCCATGCAAGACAAAGTCCAATAGAAAACGTAATCTGTTAAGTTGGATTCCCCATACTTGTGCCATAGTTTTGCATTTAAAAAATAAATATTATTACATTCAAAGCAGAAGTATTGATCCCAAAGAGATGAGTTTGGAAGGGTAAATAAAGGCCCAGCTGTTTCCAAAATCTGGGCTTTTGCCATCCCACATTCTTCTTACTCTTTCTTCAGAATGGTGTTTACTACATGTTTTACAAACCAAATAACCTATATTAGATTTTATAAGGAATAAGTGAATGTAATTTGCATTTCCTAGGCAACACTTGATTGCATCCCCACTCTGTTCAAAGCCCCTTTCTGTCCCCTCGAAGCCTGCACGGTCCTGGGACCCTACCTGCACGTCCTTTCCCCTGAGAACTGCACAGCAGACCTAGGTAGGACCACAGACCTGGCTGATCTTCCTCCAAGTAAATCCTGGGAAAATACTGCAGAAATTGATAAAGTAATGCAGACCAGTTAAGGCCTCAATACCGGAAGTTGCTAAATAATGAAGTACGTGAATTGTACTGTACACGTTCTCACATTACACAAGAGCAAATGGATTTCTACATTATCTCACTACAGAGGACAAGAATGAGGATTGGTGGCTTAAAGTAGCTTTCAGTAGAAGGTGGGTGCAATGTGGTCTCAGTTCATTAATGTGCGTCTGATGCTGTTAGTTCCACTGACCTCCCGTAGGTATTTTGGGATGCAGTCCAGGATGTCCACTCAGCTCGTCTTTTGTTAAACAGTGACCATCTAGCAGGGTTGTACTTGCTTTATTCATTCAATAATTTGCTGAGTACCTACTATGCGCCAGAACTGAGTTTAATGTTTTACATCCGTTACCTCCCTGAGTCCTGTATAACATTCCTGGATGGCAATCATTGTTACTCTTTTGTTCATCTTTTCACTTTGACTCATTATTCTGATTCTAAAGATGCTGGAGAGATTAAGTGAATTGCTCAAGCTCACATGTCTATTAAGAAGTAGAATCAGAATTAAGCACCGGGCTTTCTGATTCTACACCCCAGGTGTCTTTCTGTAGATGGCATTACCTTCAGAAGCAGGCATGATGGAGATATAGCGCAGTCAAAGTAAGCTGACCAAGGATGTCAACGTTGCCACCCAAACCTGAACATTTCTTATTCCATAGAGACTTCTAACATGGATATTTGGCTAGGCTAAGACAGTAAGGCTTCCCTGGTATCCAAATAATACAAGGATCAGAAAGTTCTGAAGCCCTCCGGTCTAACTCCCTTACTTTACAGATTTATTCTTTATTCAACACATATTTACAGAGAACCTGTTGTAAGCTGCACAGCGCTGAGGATACCCAATCTCCGTGCCCTTACGGAGATGACAGTGTAATGGAAGCAAATGACAAGAACGCGGGTCATTTAGAGTCCTGGCAATGCAAGGGTTGAGTGGTAGGAGGTTTATTGGAATGAACAGCCACTTAATGCAGATTTGGGGGATCTAGAAGATAATGTCTTTGTTGAGTTCTGGGAAAGATACCAAAGAAATAGAAGATAGCAACTCAGAAGGTAGAATTCAAGGGAATAAATGGGCAAATGGGCAAGGACATGGGATAATTATTTTG